GTGAGTAAGCGTGCCTAGTGCAATATTTATAGTTCGAATATTATTGTGATAGGCGCGGCTATTCTCTCAAAACTAGTAAATTTTGCATGAAGAAAACCCAGCTGTACTTGAAGGAGACATGGTAATTTATTTCCTTTGTGCTACTACCAGTCGCTGTATAGTGTACATTGAAAACAAATAAAAATAATTGAAATTGTTGATCTGATTTATACGCTTAGGCTGACTTTCAAGTCACTGTTAACCCACCAGCAAGGCTAAAACAGTTTTTGTGAAACCATGCATATACAGGAAGACGTTTGGTAGAGTCTTCTATGGACTTATTTCAGTTGTAAAAACAGAAGAAACAGAGGACACCTGTTGATCAAGTAGAATTATTTTTACATGCAGATGCTATAGTCCATTTCATAAAAGATGGGCACTCTCAATGAACATTATGATTCTACATATGTGTTACAGGTCGAATTTGATTTCAGGTTAATTTTGATTTAACCTAGGTTGATTCTCTGTTTCCCTTGTTTCCTAGCCCTAATTCGTGAATAATCAGGGATAGGAGACAAAGGAAATTGAGAATAAACCTAGGTTAAAAAAATTTAACCTGAAATCAAATTTGACCTGTAACATGCATAATTCTTGATTTCTGTGTAGCATTAAAATTAATGTTACTGTTACAATATACAGCTGTACATGATTGTATGTACCGGTATATCTGGGAAATAAATCATTATTGGTTTGTGGATGCTGAAACAATCGCTAGCATCTCTACTACATTTTCTGATGTTTTGACAGTTTTCTCCTCAAATTTTAGCTCAGCAGGTAAGGGACCATTTATGGCCAGTTAGACAAAAAATTTGCGCAAGAGGTGCACTTTCCGGGGAAGGGGAGAGGGGTATTGGAGTGAGGGACATGGCCCCGCCCTCCCTGGGAAATTTAGGAGCTAAGTTCTCTGAAACGTCATTCCTTCATTTTAAGACCTATTCTACGCAAATCGGGCATTGTTATCTCAAGACAATAATTTAAACCCTTTGATATATTTCCAATAATTTCACTTTGTCTTCAATATTCTCTTTCTAAAATAGGTGGCCCATAAAAAGAAAAGCTGTGTATACTTTATTACTTTTCCTTATCTATTTATTCATTTTCCTTCTGAGAATCTAATTGGATCACAACTTCCTTCTTTTAAAGTCTACGTATTTAATTTTAGTAAACCTTCAAGCGGGTTCAGGTGGAAAGAAGTATTGCTTCAGGTGGTAAATTTTACTGGTTACAGCCTGGTCAGGAAAACATTGTTGTGATATTGTGTGTTAACAATACAAGCCTTAATGCCGATAATTCTTTTCAGGTCTCCCTCATTCGCATAAGCTTCCAGGGGTCCAAGTGGAACATCACACATATGGTGAGTGTAAGAAAGGGTTCAGGTAGCAAAACATTAATTTTTCAGGCTTTCTTTTCTTGCATACATAACTGTGATAAATCTTTTTTACACTGTTAAAATATATGAAAAAAAATAATTAATGTTTACTTTCATGTTGTAAAAACTGCTATGAAACATTCCAATCTTGATACTGGTGTACACACTATACATGTACAGGTGTAGCCCAGTGTTAAGGGCTCCTGCACTGCAACGGTATTGTAGAAGACCCTCTTGATTTTTTTTCATTGGATACAAAATATATACAGTGTATATTGAACAATTATTCCTCGAGCCCGAATGGGCTATTGACTCAGAGGCCATGAGGGCGAGAGGATATTGTTTTAGTAAAATCCAACTAGTTGGTCAAAAATATCAAGACAAAACAACTTAAAGCAAAACTTTAATCCTTTTTTGCCGCCAAAAATATGGCACTTTTCGCTACTAGTGGGCTATAACATATAGCCTAGTAGTAACTTAACCAATCAGAATGCAGCATTGATAATAGACCACTAGTTGGATTTTACTAAATAGATATATACTGACATCTCAATTTGGCCCAGGAAGCTCCATTTCATGTCTACAGATATACTGTTAGTTCGTTATAGATGTTGTAGTTAATTTTTTATTTCAGGTAATTTTTGTTTTTCTTTTGTTTTTGAGTATGATAATGTATGCTAATGAAGTTGAAACAAAGGAAAAATAAAAATTACCTGAGATAAAAAATTAACTACAACATAGACCAACAAGAACTCTGCGTTCTGCAGAAAAAGAACTCTTAGTACAAATTAAATACAACCTTAAAACTTATGGTTACAAAGCTTTTTCACACACAGCTCCTAAGATACATGTATGAAATTCCCTGCCAGTCAGTATACACGCATTTTGAGAGCTGGGTGCTTTCGAATCAGAAATCAAAACACTATTCTTTTTAAGCGTGCTTTTCAGCTGTAATTTTATTTTTTATTTTATTATTTGTTATTATTTATTTATTCATTATTATTTATATTTTTACTTGTTATTTTCAACAAATAAGTCATTGTAATATTTTATTAGGTTTATTACTATTAGTACTAATTATAAATCGCTTTGGATCACAAAGAGAAAGGCACTATATAAATGTATATATTATTATTATTATTATTATTATTATTATTATTATTATTATTATTATTATTATTATATGTAGGGAGATTTACAATTGTACATTCAAAAACACAAATAAAGTTTCCATTATTATTACTGTATATATAACTGTGATGATCTTTTACATGTTAAGAACAAAGATTAATAGCAGCTTAAAATACAAGTGTTATGACAAGTGACTTTATGGACGTCCTTGTGTCTTTTGTGTTTAAAAGCTCATTACATGTAGGTTTCTGCAGTCACGTTTTGTGGTTTCCTTAAGCTTACACTTATTATTATATTTATTGTTCATTGAGAGTAAAATAATGCTGATAAAAGGATAGTTTTTTTTAATCTGTAAGGTTCAGTTCAAACATCAAACTTTTCATTTACTGAACCTAATCTTTTCAATTAAGGACATGAATACTGCATGTAGATTGACGTTTGAATCAATAAAGTCCGATGTGTCTAATTTGGGTTGACCCATGAATTACATGTAAGATTGAGTGGCCCACATGGGAATTTTGACTATGAAGCAACTTTGTTACAAACGTCAAACTTTTCATGTGCCGAATCTAGTGCAGGAATAACCATAATAATTAACTTTGACTGAAAATGAATTGAGTCCAACTAATTAAGTTAAATGTTTGAATCAACCTTTAAACTTATATCATTATTTTGAGTCAACCCAAATTGGTCTAAGTTTCGTACATGAAACGTACTTCAACAAATTGTTGAACCGCATTGGCCTATTAAACCGAAATATTTTGAGCAAGATTTTCTGATAGAGGTGTCAACAACAAAATAATGTTTAACCTGCTGTCCTATAATCATGATTATGCACTTTATAAAAATGCATGATATTTGAGTGTCAATGTATTTAGCTTGAAAGTACTAATAAAAATGGGGATATTACTTTTTTATGTCTCCAACTGGGAACTGGACCACCATTTTACGTGGTTATCCAAGCCACTGCTTGAGGTGCATGCAAAGGGAGTACCTTCATTTCTCAGTTATTTTAAGACCCTAGGTACTGGTCCTGCTCCAGGAATCTAACCCTTGACCTCAAATCAATCAAACGCTCTACCGACTGAGCTTATCCTGTGCAGTTAATTCTTAGGAGTTGCAAGGCCTATTAAGGCTGGTTAAGGCATGATAACTGCACTTGGTTGAATACATGTACATATGTATTATGGTAATTTTTGTTTTTCTTTTGTTTTAAAGGTATGGTAATGTATGTTAATGAAGTCGAAACAAAAGAAAAATAAAAATTACCTGTGATACAAAATTAACTACAACATATATGTTGGTGAAAATTGGAAGCCAGTTTGATCTTTCTGCATTAATTTTGTTTTTCATGTTACAGCTGTAGTATAAGTATACTGTATTTTTATATTCCCACATTTATCACTAGATTTACAAGAAAGTAATGTGAAACTTAAGTTGACGATTGTTGATACTGTTGGGTATGGAGATCAAATCAATAAAGATGACAGGTAATTAATGACTTATCAATAATGCATTGATCAGTGAACCGAAACCCCACCACCCTGAGCCCTGGGACAAAGAGGAAGATGTCATGAATTTAACGTACATCGATAGGGGATCAGGGGGCTGGGCTCTCAATTGACAAATGAATAACAGTAGTTTGAATTGTATTAACCTATTATTGTAGTAATGCACAAGCACACAACGGTATTTTAAACTGTGCCAAACAGTGGCCAAACATTTTTTTGCTTTGTGTTTGGATAAGGAAATGCTTACGAGTAAATCCAAGGCCAATCATTTTAAAATGTTTTTTCCTTGCAAGTGCAGCTTTATCAAAAATTAATTTTTTATCATTGTCTGCAAACCAGAAGATGCTAGTGTTTTGCCAATGAAACTAGCCTTTCCTCTCTGTTAACCCCTTTTTCTGACTGAATCTTGATCAAAATAAATACACTGCATATGTAATTCCTCCTTGGGGAGTTTAAAAGATACTGTGTGGTACAGCTGTCAGGCTGTGACCACGATTTCAAGTTGCCAGGCAAATACAACAAGTAGGCAGGGAAACAAACAGTAGGAATTTCTTTTGGTTCTATTTTCTTCTTTAAGTAGCCAGCAGAAATCCTTGGCCCCCCGCATCTTAATGACAGCCATGAGCCGTATTCAGCTGTACATATAATCATTTGAAGTTTGTTCTTTTAAATTTTATTCAGTGCAAGTCCTATCGTAGAATACATCAATTCACAGTTTGAGAAATATCTACAACAAGAACTGAAGATAAGGAGATCACTGAACTCTTATGATGATACCCGCGTACATGTCTGCCTTTATTTCATCTCACCCACTGGCCATTCGTAAGTCTACATCCTTCTCCAGAAAATTATGATACTTTGTATTCCTGCCATTAGGGGTTAATTAGCAAGGTATGCTGTTCATCATGAGCTGTTCAGACAGAATAGGTACAAAATGTATCTGTTTGAATGACTTGAGCTAACTGTTAAAAAAAATTATGGTATTCGTTTGAACGGTTCGAGCTTCCCATTCAAAAAAGTGTTCAGTCTTCATTCAAATGGCTCTGGCTATCCTTTTGAAAAAAACTATCATCTGCCATTCAAACGATTCTAGATATCTGTTAAAAAAATACCGTAAAACCTCTATTAAGCTCCCCAGGGGACGTATTTATTTCAAGCCCATTTGAGGGGGGAGGTAGGGGGATTTATTTAATTTAGAAATGACAATGGTAAAGAACGATAATACAAAGTGGAAAAGCTCAAGTGCAAGAAGCTGGAGTTCATGCAGCCGAGGATCAGAGTCAAATCTGAATTTCCAGTTGGTAAATAAACCATCCCGGATCAATCCACATGAAGTTTTAGAGTTGTGATTGATTAATACAGTTTATCATTTATCAATGAAGAATAATTTAGGGGAGGGGAGGGGGGCTTATTAACTTTCTTTCCCTGAAAAGGAGGGAGGGCTTAATAGAGGATTTACTGCATGTCATCTGTTTGAATGGCTTAAGCCATCTGTTCAAAAAAATTCTCAGCTGGGCTACCAGTGCCTTACTTTTACTCTTGGGGGACTTAGAAATCTTATTTTTCATAAAAATCATACACATATGCTGGGCACCCTGTTTTCCATTTTTCCAGAGCACTGTCCCCATAGAACACAGCCTTGTATGACTGTTTTTGTGGGGATAGGAATGGATTCCAGAATCACACATACAGTATTAATGGTTTACATGGTCTATTACAGATCAATGTGAAATCAATAATATTGTAAGTACTATAATTAAATTAAATTGATAATTTACTATTTTGAACCCAAGAGACATTTTATTCATCAGGAAAAGTTGTATCCCATTAAAAGACCTTGTGGACAACTCCCATTCTCCAACCTTAATTGTAGTACTTACAGCTGTAAGTTGATTTCACTTTAATTTTATATGTACTTAATACCAGGAATGAGCTTGAGAAATGTGTTCTGAATATACATTTGAATTCGTAGCTCACATGTACATTTAGGTGTGTTCAAGTTGAACTTCCCAACTTGGCTCCGGATGTTCAAATGTTGGATAGTGCTATTTTGTGGATAAATCACTATCCAGTAGATAAATCACTATCCAGTGGATAAGTATTAGGGAAACCAATTATTGTGTTGTACAATGGATAAAGATTTATCCAGTGGATAGCGTTATCTACCTTTCAAACAACTGGGCCCTGGATAGCACAGTTAAATAATGTAAAATTTAATTTTGTTAAGTGCAGTGGATGAAACAGTCATTATAATGTCAAACTCAGTTATTGCTTTATATATTCAGGTTGAAGTCTCTGGATCTTGTTTGCATGAAGAAGTTGGACAAAAAGGTTGGTGGTATTAACGTCACCAAATGGGGATGTAATTACTCTAATGATAGTGTGTAAATTGGATTGTACATGATACATGTACATCAGTTGATATTTATGCTATTAACTGCTCTTATGCAGTACATGCATCAGTTACTATTCCATCATTCTATTGTAGGTAAACATTGTTCCCATTATTGCAAAGGCTGACACCATCGCAAAGAGTGAACTGAAGCAATTTAAGGACAAGGTGAGATATAAAGTGTTGCAATGTAGCTAAAGGACAACAGTCTGAGCCAAGTTTTATCCTCACCACTTTGAAACGGTATATTTTTTCTGCTGAATGCTACATGTATAATAGTCACCTTGTTGAATACAATGCACATGTACATCGCTAAGGTTGAGTTAATGTTGGCATCTTTCAGATAATGGATGAACTTGCAAGTAATGGGGTTGAAATTTACCGATTTCCTGTGGATGATGAGACTGTAGCAGAAATGAACTCCAAGATGAATGTAAGTATGTTTTAAGATGCATGCATTGCTGATCAAGACAGTGCTGTTACAACCTGTATCTCATGTACCTGTGAACGTATGACGCCACAATCCACTCACATCATGGCCATTCAGTAAACCCTTTAACCCTTCAGCTCCAATATTGACATACCAATTCCACACACTAATCTCCATACATTCCCTTTAAGAATTAGTTGAGAAAATTTGATAGAAGAACAAAGCATTAATTAGTATTTTTTCCTTACAGTAGCTGATCATTTTTTTGATTGTGATAACCTTTTCTTTGATTGCGTAAGGTCAAAGCTCTCATAAGCAATCATCTCAGAAATTCAAAAAAGTGGTCATTAAATGTAACTAGAGCTGGTGGCTTACAAGAATAAGTTCTCGTCAGCAACTGCATGGCAAGACAATAGTTGGTGGTCGCTTACGAGAGCTTCAGAAACTCATTAATAATTCATAGAGAAAAAATAAAAGAAATTAATATTTAATGAGTGTCCTTATAATAATTATCTGATAAAGACGTGGCTAAACTTTATGTCCAATTTTTTAGACCAAAACAACCCCAAATCTATAATTATTATTAGTGTAGCAATTAGGTAATGTTAATCAGAAGATTTTGAAGCCATTCAATAAACTCACAGTTCCTGTTTTATCAGGTCTGAGTGGCCGCAAAGGAAAAGTCCAGTTGGGTAATCCCAAAAGAGGTCACGGTCGCTCACGAGAGCTTTTCATTACAAAGTTTAAGTCACCGTTAACACAGGGTTTCACAGAGATGGTCGTGACTAGAGCTGGTCACTTATGAGAGTGATCGTAAGGAGAGCTTCGATTGTCTTGATTGTTAAAAGATTTAAAGGAATTAAAGTGCAATATTGATCTTTACATTCAATATCAAAACACATCATAATTATGCCCTGTCGTGTTATATATACATGTACATTTTGTATGATACAGTTCACCCATTTCAATTTCATACCAAGATGTACATGTATGGCAGTGTGATTTGTCACTCTTCCCTCAAAATCTGGGGATGAACCGTGATGGTGTTATTATTCAAATGAAACTTCTTTGGTAGAATCTGTGAATCATTTGTTTCTTAAGATTTTGCATTTAGATAGTTTGGAACTCTTGCAAATTTTATAGTATACCCTAGGTCTTATTTGGACTGAAAGTGTTTAGGTGAATCTGTTTAAAGGTCAAGCCAAACATGTACATGTACACCTTTGGTAGTCATTTCCTTGAATATTCTCTTAACTTTAAGGTTTGATGAAGCAGTCATACCAACAGTAATAATTATTGCTGTCCTTGGAGAGATTCTCCAATTAAAATGATGGGACTGCTTGACCTACCCTTTGAGGGGTAAAATTTGTATGTTGGTATTTGTATTGGTTATGGGTAGAATGGGCGTGTTCCATATTCATTTCCACCCCTAATAGGTACCAATTCAACAACAACAAATTATATAACTAGCACTGCAAATTTTAAAAGTAATAAAGATAACTTTTAAACACTTTCTTCTCAAGGACTTTTTGAAAGTATTCTCATAAATCTTCTGGCAGCAGTCATTTTAGGTTTTAGCACCTTAAGTGGTACCAATCCACAAATTTGAACCTATAAAAGGTACGACGAGCACCCCCGTCACTTAAATAGGGGAGTATGCCCCCCCCCCGGTTATACACCCCTAAAGTAAGACAGAGTCATATTAAGGAGAATAAGCAAAGGCATCTTTGAGCGCTTTGCGTCAACCAGAAGTGGACTTTTTCTGCATTCTTGAGCAGTTGTATTGTCCAATTCTTCGCGAAAATCGTCTCCGTAAAGTAAAGACGCTTGGAAATACAAATGGGGTAACGTCAAGGGGAAGAACCCGCACTTCCGGTTGATGTGTGGTTCTCAAAAACGCCTTTGCTTCAGCTCTCTTTTAACTCATTATTTACCTTTATACAACTGTTCTCCTTGTGCAGATTTAGATGTTTCTACAAAGCACTTGTTGTGTTTTTTTTCTTCATTGTAGGAGGAAATTCCATTTGCTGTGGTAGGCAGCCGCGAGGAAGCTTTGATCAATAAAGTGAAGACAAGAGCCAGACAGTACCCATGGGGAACTGTTGAAGGTGAGGCATCTAATCCGTGAGGAACGGAATTATTAAGTGCTTGCACTATCCTGTATGAGAAAAAAGTTGGCCCTTTGCCAAAGCCAAGATCTGACAGCAAGGGGAAGCCAAAACGTTTCTATGGAGAAACGTCGGCCCAGTTAGGAGTGTGACCCTAGCATCACAAAAGGGTGATCCGGCTAGGCAATCATCCTAGCCGAACAAGCCTTTTGCTTCTCGATCATGTAAGAGGTTCGCCCAGGGTAACTCGGTAGGTGAGTCAGTGACCCTTACACCTGGGACAAGTTTTCTCCATAAGTGGGGCTTGAAAAACACTTCCGGGAGCACAGTTCCTGGAGCAGTTTTTTTTTTTTAATTTTATAAAGGTACTGTAATGGTGAGCCAAAGGTACGGTATAATACGTATGATACTTGCATTGTCAAAACACAAAACGCTCAGAAGATGTTAAAAAAAGTGAGGCCTGGTTTTTCCTAAACAAAGCAGGCGTTGCGCCAGCATAAGAATGAGTCGTGACTTAACTGAAAAAGGAAAATATGTTATATTTTAACAATATTTTATCTTTTAACTCTAAAATATGATTAATTTCATATGTATTTTCATTCACTTAATCATTTGTTTTCCAGTGGAAAATGAGAACCACTGCGACTTTGTCAAGCTTAGAGAGATGTTAGTTCGGTAAGTATTTCTTCCACATCCAGAATAGATAGCAAGCGGTCGTCCTTCTTTCCTCAGAGCAACGCCCAGCGAACGAAAGAGCAAAATTTTGCATATTCTTGGTAAAAAGGAGGGGAGATAATGGGGGCAGCGACTTATTTTTTCTTTGCTCGGGCTTCCGCCCTCGTTACTACTTGAAGAGCCACTTTGTGTTGTGGTCATTCGACCATGATCTTTAGAGGGCCCCGGCCAAAGGGGACCACTTAGCTACCTTTACGAGTGAAAACTTTGATGCTGTAACAAAGAAACCTCTAATGGTTAAAGGATGATTGAATATTACTATTTTCAGGACAAACATGCAGGATTTGATAGACAAAACCCATAGCCAGCACTTTGAGCTGTACCGACGAAAGAGGCTTGAAGACATGGGCTTTAACGATGGCGACGGAGAGACAAAACAGGTGAGTCTACAAGAGACGTACGAGCTGAGAAGGCAGGACTACATGAAAGACATACAGGGCAGAGAGGAGCAGATGAGACAGAGCTTTGTTAACAAAGTGAAGGAGAAAGAAGCGGAGTTAAAACAAGCTGAACAAGAGGTAAGGGTAGAGTACATTCACCAGCCTGAGAAAACAACCGACATTTCGCGACGTCACTACCGATTTCCCCACGAAATGACGTCTGAGAAACGAGCGAAGAAATTCCATACTGAGAACACGTCACTACCCAGATCTGGGTATAGTGTTTTTGATTGGCTGAAGAAAATTTTTCACGCCGCACGACCAATTTCCCAGGTCTGGGTAGTGACACGTCATCAGAATGGAATTTCTGCGCTCGTTTCTCAGACGTCATTTCGCGGGGAAACCAGTGGTGGCGTCGCGTAAT